GGCACATTTGGTCCTATAGGTGCAGAACTGTCACATGCATATTCTTAACTATATGAAGTGTTTGGCAGGTTTAAGCAGCAGAGGGTCAAGCATCTGCTTATCACAACTCCGTGCTTGCTGAACTGTATGCAAAGATGAAATGCTCACTTGATCATGCATTTTCACACACAAATAACTCTCTGTGCCCTCATAAAGCTGAGTTGCTCCTTCGCCAAGATAGTTTACTGCCTGCTAATTTTCTTGTGCATGTTTGGATCACGCCTGCTTGTGTTTTTCATGCCCTACTTTTGACACTAATTAAACACTACATTTTGCTCCTTTATCTTCCATCTCCTTTAGTGTCAATTTGCATCATGACATGCAAATGTTCAATCTTTTTCAAAAACAAATGTACAGTTAGTAGATGTGGGTGTTGGCAGTCAGGTTTAATGTAATAATGTTGGAAAAATCTATTTTTATTTAGTAGGATATTTTTCTTATTCAGGATATGAGAAATAATAATTTCCCATCCTTGGAAACGAAAAAAACTGTATTTTTTCACTTATTTAATATTTTACTTTATAATTGCAGCTTTTTTTTTTATCACCTTTAAATATCTTAATTCATGGGTCTTGCAGATTTTAGAAGCATCCATACTGCAACACAGCTAATTCAAATAGCTGAATTACCTCTGCAGCATACCATATTTTTGGCAAAGGCCTGGTAAGCCATTTGATTCAACTGTGTTAGAGATTGGACACATCTAAACCATGCAGGATAGTAGATCTTGAGGACCAGGGTAGGAGACCCTGGTTTTAAAAATCCAAACACATTTTAACATTATATACTGTGTGAATACCATTATGAGCAGTGGTCATGTAATAATGTATCTACTTTTGACACGAGTCTATGAAAACCCACAGGGAACTATCTTTTTCACATTTGAGCTGAATTTCACTAATAAAACACACACTGTATTCCTCCTGGAGATATGATCAGGATATTAGTTGAAACAAGGGAAAACAATTTTTTATTTATTTATTTATATATATATATATATATATATATATATATATATATATATATATATATATATATATATATATATATATATATATATATATATATATATATATATATATATATATATATTCTCTGCTCTCCAACAGGAAATTCTGAAAGAGAATATCTGACCTTCAGTTTATGTGTAAGGAAGAATTAATGTCACAATAACTCTACCTTAAATTGGCAATTACATGTGTATGTAATTGCACTGATTAAATACAGACAAAATAAATGTCATGCTGCTTAAATGAGCAGTTGTTCAGAAATATGGTTAAAATCTCTATAAAAACACCCTTCCACACTATGGAAGGGTACCTCGGCACGTAAACGGAATGCTTCTTCAGTGGCTGACCACGCTGACAGCGGTAAAGAATATGAGGTCTCCACACATGTATTTCAATCACTACTCAAGAGGGATGAAAAAGAGTCAGATGCTTATAGTGCTCATGCTTATGGTGCAGTTCTGTATGTGCTGGAGCTGCCAACAGAGCAAACTGCGCCACACAGTAGGAAAAACAGAAAAACTCAGGTGAAGCTTAGCAGTACGAGAAGTAGCAGCAGGCACAATTGATGATTTTAAGATTTGAAGACAGTATCTGATTTCTAATTAATTTCAACCTTAGAATATGAGTGAGCTATTTATTCAATTTTGTATTTGTTTGATTGTAAAATAGTTTGATTATACAAATGCCCATTTTGGGTCCTAATGGTTTTTACTTGCCCCTTTCTGGACAATGGAATGTAAAATAAGGCCTATTTTTCCATATGCTTTTCTTCAACTTTTTGTCATGAATAAAGACCAATGCCACAGGCACCTTATGAAAGGGAGTGTCTAAATGTCAACACAATGATGGAAAGGACTCATTACCAGGCATCCTTAATGCATGAAGTCAGGTGTTAAACACAAGGGTAGCAAACTGGTTATTAGCTTAAGTCAACATTTTTTTTTTCTTCATCAAATATTGACCTAAAAAGTTGAATAATAATATTAAAAAAAAAAAAATATTGTAAAATGCTTTTGAAACTCCTGGCAAAAAACAAACAAAAAAATATTTAGGTATTTGAACCATTTTGTCACTGTTACTTAAAATTTGCTAAGTACTTCTTTTTTAGCCTTAGACATTAGTTCCACTCTGCTCTAGGCCATAGATACTGGTCATTAAACAAAAAAGTGAAAATAAATATTTTCTGTTTTTCAGTGTAAATGCTGTTTTTGAGCTATTTCTCCTACTGTCAGTATATATCATGTCTACATTGACAGAAAACAGATCTGAACAAATTTGAATAAAGTACGGAATTTAGATCACTGTTTATTAAACAATGATTTCCCAATAGTCATTTTTCAGGAAAGCTTAGAGGTAAGATAGATTAAAAAATAATCATAGTGTATTATTTGCATATAAACAATTGTTATTAATAGATGGGCAAGTGTTAAGGTAGCATCTTATGTACCGTATAACAATATCATGCTAGTTTTGGTATTGTCCTCACATTACTTACACTCAAACATCATAAGCTGTAAAGCAGTGCATTCAAATGAACAGCAAACATGTTCTCATGCAACTTTATGTATGTTTCTGTGTCTATTTAGTCGTATTTTTATTATTCATTTCTTGTTTCACCTTTAAAGATTTTAATTTAGATTTTTTTTCTTTTTTCTCCTTAATCCAGTAAGAGCCTCATGGATGCTCAATAAAACAGGTTGTGTAACTGGACACAGTAACCACTTGTACCTTTTTCGAGGATGTAGGACTTTAAATATGAAGGGCAAAGGCTCAGAATAGCTTTCCATATGAATGTAAATGCTCTACACTCCCCTGGTAACATGCCGGATTTTGTGGTATATAAACTACCTTTTCAGTTCTAAAATCTTTTTATTCCGCATATTAAAGGGAAGTTTCAGCAGCTTTCTTACCAAACCCTTCCTTATTCTTGTTCTAAGTATTTTTTGAAGGACAATTTCTTTTACCCGAGTAAAACTATGTTTAGTTAGTATAGTTAAGATTAGTCTTTTGAAGTGCGACTGCAGCGAATGCTATCTAACCACACCCAGCACACTGGACAGCGAGCACTGACCCAGATCAGGCTTGTCCTGCCCAGATGTGCGTGTCGTGCAGGTAACACTCAGGGCGTAGCAGAGCAGAGAAGACAGATGGGTTATCTATCATTCTCACAGTTGCAGGATGGGTTCCGTCATCCTGACAGTGTGCATCCAAATCAATCAAGTGAAATTTGAATGAGAGAAATTGATCAGAATTTTGTCTGGTTCTGCATTCATACGTAAGCATTGACACAGAATAGTAGACAACTATAGTAGTTGGGTAGTTAACCCCAATTTCTATTTACTAGAACTAAATATACTAAGATTATATCACATGAGAGAAGGAAAATTGATTGATCTGCTTTCTTTTAAAGCTGGCACTCAAAACACACCTTCCAAGTTAGTGGTTGGTCATACAGACGTGTATTGTGTCTTGGTTGATGATTAAAAATTGCGATTTGCCGGTATAATTTAAATCTGCTGGCACTTACTAGTGATTAAACAAACCCCAAGTCAACAGCATGTTTAAACAACCATATTTGTGGATAGAAATTGATTAGAATAATACATTAATTTCAATATTCAATGATTATTTTATTCAATATTCATAAATTTAACACAGCGTGAAAAAGAGTGAGTGAAGAAAGAGATTTTTCAGAGCTACAAATTAGTTTGTTCACATCGATATATGCAGTCTAATCAGTCTCACTGCGCCCAATTCAGTACACAAACATACTGAGATCTGAAAGAACCATTGATACCTGAGGCAGAAGCTTTTCATCCAAGCACTGGGTAGCATATGATTTCAGTTTTGGTGGTTAAACATTTTATTTGACTTTACTGTAAAAAGGTTTTGAAAATACTAACAACTTCTAATAAATATCAGAGGATTTTTTGGTTCCTTTTTTAATTCTAATTTTGGAAATCTAGCCAATTTCTATTGATTTTTTTTAAGGTTTAGTTAATCAAGTCAAAGCAATCATACACAGAAATGATCAACACCTATAAATGATGTGCTCATGTGAACATAAAGAACTTATGAGTTAAATTAACTATTTACAAAAGAGTTAAGTAAACTGGCAATGTAGTTTTACAATTACAGTTGTATTTTATTAGTGTAAAGAAAAACCCCTATCAAAACAGAAATGCATTCTTTATTTATTTCCCCCAAAATGAGGGGGAAAATAAATGCAAACATAATAATAAAATCAGGTGGAAGCATATGCACAAAATACAGATCACAATTCTAACTTTTATAGGGACATTGTTTCAAAGCATCTTGGAATGTCATAAACTCCTTAGTTTGACGTTAATGCAAATGCTTATTCCCAAAAGCTTCATTTCAGTGGAAAGCAGCAAGCATGTCTAGGTGGCTACCTTAATCCCAGACATCGCTCAGCAATTATGAATGTGAACCATGAGCAGACAAATCCCTGGGCACAGTGGTTTTCTGAAAAATGCACCAGCAACATATCCCAAGGAGGATACAATCTAAAAATACCACTTTTTTCATAAACAGCTATGAAAAATACTGTTTGAAGTCAAAGTAGTCTCTAGAATATCTTATCTCATTTATTTATATATATATATATATATATATATATATATATATATATATATATATATTCTTTTCATAGGTAAAAGAAACTTAAAACTGTAAGTAGATTTATTAAAATTGCTAAGAGACCACCTTTTTGTCATAGCATAACAGAGCATGAATAGTTTCCTAATTGCAGTATAATAGAACAAAAGGTTTTTAAAGACTGAGTTCCAGGTGGTGAGGGATTATGCTCAGCTGCTTATGCTTTCATTTTAATTAGACATTACTTGCTCTTGTGTACTTGCTTTGTGAAAATGTATGCAAAATGTTCTGTACTTTCTCTGTTAAAACATTTTTTGTATTCTTCAATTCCAGGGAAGAGGCCTTGATGTCCACATATTTTGAGTCAGTACAGGACCTGTTGGCATCTTTTGGACCTGTGCGTGATTGCTCTAAAGACAATGGTGGCTGCAAAAAAAATTTCAAGTGTGTGTCTGATCGACAGATGGACTCCTCCGGATGTATGGTAAGCTCATGTAAGGATAAACAGTAGTTTATCCTTTATCCATACCTAAGAAGGTTTCAAAATGTCGGGGGTATTAATTTAGCTATAAGCAAAAATAGTACTATTTCACCTTTGGTGCCTCTTGTGGGCAGATATATGCTCCATGTTTTTATCTAAAGGTTTTCTAATTCTTGTTATGCAGAAGCAGTGCATCTTTATTTCAGTGAAAATATTCACCTGCATTTAAAAATATATTTAGCGATTCTCCCTGCTTCATACTCAAATTTTAGAGTGCAGACAGCACTAAGGAAACAAGAATTTCAAGGTCTCCTTGTCTTCAGTAACTTTCTCCAGCACCTCCTTCTAAACTCCCCAGCCACTCTCTAGCGAGCTCCGAGTTATAATCCCGACAGCAAGACCTGGAATGCCAATTAGACCCTTGAATGGAGGTGCCCAGCGGGCATCCTTGTTAAATTTCAGATCGACCTCAACCGGTTCATGGGTATCTTCTGGACTTCCAAATAGACAAAAAAAAGGTCTGAACATGTGTGGAGCTTTACTTGTAATTCACATACTGTAATATTGGAAAGGATTTTTTTGAGAGCAACAATGTTTAAATTATGCACTCGAAGCTTTTCATATTCATGCTATTCCTTTAAGAGTATTTTGACTTTTTTAACGCTTAGAAAGTTTGTTACAGTTTAACCTCAAGGTTCAACATATTTTGTTGAATTTTTATGTAAAAGAAGTCCATTGTTGTTAGCTAAAATGAAGAGGCAAGGCAAATTCATTTTTAAAGTTCTATTGATACGCAATATGAAATTCTTTGCTGGTTGTCAAAGAAAGGGTGGAATAGAAATAGAAGAAATAGCACAAAGGTGATGCAGAAAGAAAGAAAATATATGGTTGTAGAACGTAGAAAAATACATGTTCATAGGTTTAGACCTAAAGAAAAAAGGTGGAATTTGTGAATAATTAAATCTAGCATTTGAATTGTAGATACAATTTTTGAAGTATATCTAAGATGTTCTTGTGCCCTCTGTGTACTCTGATTATTGAGTGAAATCAATAGAGACATGCTGCAATATGACCAGGTGTGTTGCTGTTCTCTCATATTTTTTTGTTGTTGTTTGTTTTTGTTTTTTCAAATTATCATCTTACTGTCTCAGATTAAAACTTCTGTGTTTTTTTTTCAATCTCCCTAATTGGTCCAGTAATTATTATAAAAAAAAATGAATAAGGAGTACAGGCGAAGGCTTCAGTTTTAAGTTTGCTCTTTCATGCCTATTTCCTACAGGTAAATAAGGTGACTTCATAAAAAAAGGAAAATTAACTTCTTAGGTCATTGTTGAAACATTCATGTCACAGTTTCTTCTACAAAGGCACAGATATACAGTGCACATGATGAAATGTGTGACATTCATGTTGGCAGTAGTTTCTAAGCTGTTAAGAAAAAATATAAATTTGCCAGGCAAGGCAAGGCTATAACATTGTTACCCATGGCTGATAATGAACTGGCATAAAGCAGAGGAAGCAGAGGCTATATAAAGAATAGCCTGCAGGTGTGGGCAATGAGCTAATCAGTTGAATAGCAGTACTATAACAGACAGTGTCTTAAGGTAATGCAAAAAACATTAACACAATAAAGCGTGACATCTTTAAATGCCCTTAAACAAAATATGAATATGCAATAGTGTAACAGTGGGTGTTATTAATAAACACCTCAAATCTAGCCTTTATCAAAGAGAGGAAAAAAGAAAGCGACTGTTAAGTCATTTCTGACACAGTTTACCATAATCTATTGAAGAGCCACAGTAGCCAAGTGTAAGGCATTGCTCTCCTCAGATTACATCAAACTGATGGCTTTTTGCTCACATTCAAAAGAACTTTTGTTGACAAAAAATGTATATTGCAGGTTCCATGCTGACACTTATTTAAAAAGAACAGCAGACATAAATGTAGAACATTTGTTTAGATGGTTTTATCAAGTTTGAATAGATTTGAGCGGTTTTACAAATAATCAATGGTTCTCTCATGGAATTCAGTTATGTTCTACTTTGTGTTAGTCTACATCAAATGTCATTGTAATTTCTTTTAGTATGTCTTAATCTAATGAAAAAGGACCTAGACTTACTCTTTACATTATGTTTAAATATTATGTAATATGTATCATGCAACAAACATGTGCAGAAACCAACAGCTTAAAAAGAATAAATAAAATACTTGTTTAATATCTTTTTATGATTTAGTTATTGTAAAACAAATGATTTTTTTTTTTCTTTACTTTCATTTCATTCTAGCTTTGTCAATTGTCTTATTTTATTTTTGGACACTTTTAATGAAACTTACTTTACCTTTTTGTAACCTATTTTTGTAAACTCTAGACTGCAGTGTAGACAACATTTTAACCTGACATTTTTATGTTCTGGGGTGGTTTGAAACACCAGATTTTTGGACAGCAATGGGCTGCCTTGCATTGCAAAGTCATTAAGTTGATGAGAGCCATCTAAATTACTAGAGGACGGTTCTCTGAGTCATTAAGAGCTTGGAAGCGGCCGTGAAGCGATGACTCTATTGGATGTGACAGTCAAAGACAAATACATTACAAGTTTTGTTTGCTTGTTTCATGAATATTTTCCATTAGAAAAAAACAGAAACATCTTCTGGTTACTGCACTGACAAAGCTGCTGTAGAGATGAAACTGTTAGATTTGTAGAGCCCAAGTTACTCCGCCTTGTGTAATTAGGGCTGGCACTCACCAGAAAATGATGGCTGACAGGCAAATTTCCTTATTCAAACTCCATTCAAGAGTAATTCACAGCTCATGTGCATCTACTGCTTTTCAGTATTTTTTTCATTTATTTCCAAAAAGCCAACAAGTCTAATGTTTTACTGTGCCTATTAATTGATATGCAAAAAGTACGTTTTATTCCAATCATAATTTATGTTGTTTGTTCTTGCTGTAGCTTTCTTTTTTTGTTTTATGTTTCACTTTTTTATTGATTTTTTCTTCAGTTTTTTTTTTATATACAGAAGTATTTTTTCAGCTTTGGCTAATTTGTTGAAAGTAAGCACTGCTGACCTCTGACTTTAACATGGATGGATGCATTCAAATTGATAATGAAATATCTTGGGATTATAAGATTTAAAGCTGCCATCTAAAACAGTTTTTGAATAACCCCTGATCTCAAGACAAAATAGAGAACAATAATGATTGCAAAAAAAAAAATAAAAAAATGTTATATATTAAACTCATGCATGCATTAAACTCCCAGAATAAAAGTATCTTGAAATTATTAATATGATGTTTTATAATGTTTGGAAACATGGTCTCCTCTTTTCTCTTTTTTTTATCATTTTACTTTGCACTGCTCCTGCATAGAACTTGCTTATTTTGTCCACTGTAACAATGGTAGAGATGTGGCTTTTACACCAGTAAGGAATAAATTAGCTAGCTTTTATGTTGCAGATGTTAGTTTTCGTTTGTTTGCTTTTTCCTAAAGGCAAGGGCTGCAAGTGTGGTTGATGAGGTAAAGTAGAAGCTGCTAATGCTAAAGTGGAGTGAATCCTTTGCATAAACCAAATTATGATGTTAAGGAGAAAGGGTTTTCAGAAAGGCTTTCAAGTAATTTAAGTATTTGTTTTCCTCTTTTTAAAGGAAACACTTTCCTTATAGTTAAACAATATTAAATACAAGTCCATCTATTTTATACATGTAAAGTTTGCAACAGTTAAAAACCTGTATTTTTGACACAACGGTAATGTATACATGTCAGGCATATAAATGCCTTCACAGTCATGACTTTCTGTAAGTTAAAATAATTTCTTAATTGGGAAAAGACTGATGGTTTCCAAAAATGTTTTTTAGAATATGCTAAACCAATTCCATATGCAATTCCATATAAACTGTATTTCCTATGTATGGAGAGAATTTTGATTTAAAATTGATTTGTTTCTGTAATGATAGATTTTTTATATTATCAAACAATTAAATTCATGTAAACTAATCACTTCAAACACATGGTCAAAACAACAATTTTACACAAATTAAGTTATGTGTACACAAAGTGTTTTGAGACACATTTCAGCCTTCAGAGGGCTCCCAGATTTGTGTGTACATGGTGCGTTCAAATGCTGGTGTAAAGCTGGGTCATCTGAGTTTTGTTCAGTGTCTAGCATTTTTTTTTCACTGAACTTATTTCACTCTATGAAGTGATAAGTGAAATAAGTTCAGTGACAAAGTCACTTTTCTGTGGAAAATGGTATGACTCAACACCCCTTATTTAAAACTCATGCAACTACGTATATCTACTTTTTTATTATTCTATGATTGTTTATTTACATGCTTTTGTGAGGTTTGGGTGGTTGATACACAGGCAACAAATTTGTAATGCATTTTGCTGCTTAGCCATTCAGTGATATCCAAGGTGATAGAAGTATTTTAAAGTCTGCTTGTCTGGCTGTATCTGGCTGAACAATTTATGGCTTTTAGGTTTGACAGTTTATTATTGTCTTCTATCCTTTTTGTCCTGATCTAGAGAATGTAAGTCGAACCTTAAGTCAGCACAACCATGAGCTGGGAGACAGTTTAAAAGTTTATTTTATTTTAAGAAGATTAAACAAAACAATTCATAAGGGCAACTGGAATTGGGAAAGATGAGAAACTTCTGGATCTTCTGCACTGTTGAAGAGATGTTTCGAGTTGGTAGAAGGAAAAACGGAATGTTCTATGGTTTGATTTGGATTACTTTTGATCATAGGAAATAAGATCCGGAGGGAGAACATTAGGTTTGCGATATTACTGAGGAGGGTGCTGATGACTGTTGAATCAGTGCTGGCAGAGCGTTGGAGGGTGGACAGGGTTTTTTGGCAAGGAGATTGGCTGATCTGAATATTCTTCACAGCTTGAGAACAGAATGGCGAGGAGGATTGGACAGAAGGAAAATTACTGTTGGATCTGGAGTCTGACAGAACAAGCAAGAGCTAGGAGTCCGGTCCAATACCATGGAAGAGCATGCAAG